TCAATGCGGGTTGACATGGCGTCAACCTCGACGCAGCAGTATCGAGGTGGGAGTCACCAGTCGCAGTGCGTTCGATGTGCCTGCATATGCGTACATCGGTCGGTCCAACGCTTACAATATGGAGGGAGCCAGTCACGAATGGCACACGACGTTGACTGGAAAGCTGGCTGAAGTCAAGGAGTGATGGGGGCTCGTTCGAATGCGACTCTGAGGTCCTTGAGGAGATGATCACCCCGAAGCGCATCGTTCGGTTTGAAAGCTAAGTGACACAGCCCAGCCGCGGACCCACAAGCAAATGGCGAAAGCTCAGACTTTGCGACAGTCAAGAGTGGACGGCTTCTTGTCACGTTCGGGACACAGTCGCCGCAAGGCTCTTACTCAAAGAACGGCTCAGGAGTCGGGTGTAAAAGCTGCAGCAGCTGCCGTCAGCGCGTGATTGCGTGAGGATCAATGACCATGATCAACTTGACCAGCTTCGAAAGTTCTTTCAGCTCCAACTTCGCCAGCCTTCAACGCCACCTGCTATTTTCCTCCCTCTTCATGCTTAACCCAGTCGAGCCATGAGCCGGTGTAATTTCGTACGCTGCGCGAGAAACGAGGTAATCACAGATTCAGTGACACTGCGATGACGCAAGGTGGTCGATAGAATGCAGCTGACAACGTTCACAGATCACCCGCGGAAGCCCGCTCATTGCGCGTACGACAGCAACAACGTCCCTCGACCTCGACAAAGTTCGAACCTTGCGCTCACAGCAACACTCACTTGTTCCAGCCATTCTTCTGCGCGAACTCGAGAGCTTGCTGAGAGCGCTTACCGCTTCTGCAGTAGAAGACCAGCTTATCGTCAAATGCAGGTCGATCGAATGCATATTGCTTCCTAAAGTCTGCGCCCTTATTGGAGTCGAAAGCGTCGTTGAATTGGCTCAACGGCACGCTCACTGCAGAGGGGATGATTCCAGCTTGGACCTCGTCAGGTTCGCGCACATCGATAATGGTCAGGTCCAGGGGCGGGGCTTGGGTCAGAGGCTTGAGTTCCTCATACGAGATGGGCCCTTTTGCAGCCCATGCGCCCTTGGAGGAGAGCACGCCCGAGCTGTGAAAGGCACTCGATTGGTGAGCGAGACCTTTCCGAGCGGCTGAACAGGAACGCAGCTGTTGCGACTGGCTCGTGTGAGTGATGGTGGCAGAAGTGCTCATGCCCTGGGGCTTGGCAATTGCTGCTCCTCTAGGGATTGCAACCAGCTGGCCAGCTCCAAATCTAGTGGAGCTCGCACAGTTGCGCGCAGCTCGAGATGCCAACATGATGCGAATCTGGGCGATCAAGAATAGGAATGGGCCGCGAAGTTAGGTAAAGGGTGAAAATCTGAATGACTGAGTGATCGAAGGATTGGGATGAAATTGCGACGACGAGGGGGAAATGAGCGCGCTTTAGCGGGATGTTCACGACCTGCATAGGTGGAGGGAGGGTGCATGATGCGATCCGCTGCACTTAGCACGTGAGTGCCCAGAGTCAAGAGTTTTGAGTCAAGAGTTTGATCTGAGTCGAGGCAACACAGGCTCATGCTGGCGCTCCAAAGCTGTGCCAAGCACACGTGGCGAGCCCCTCGCGTGAATCCTTTGACTTCAGATGACGCGGAATCACAACTTATCACTATTTGGTTCACTTTGACTCTCGACTCTTACTTTTTGACTACTACGACCGATGTCACTCGTGACCGACCGCAGCAGGCACACGGTGCAAGCCCAAACTATCATATGTGAGAATTCAAGTTTCGCGATCTGGGAGGAAGTCCATA